TATTTATAACTTCTGGAAATCATGACAGACTTGACTACACACTTGTGTCTTTGCAATTTTATGATCTGGGAGTGTATACTCCAATGCACTGTACTGAGGGATCTTTGTGTGGATGTGTGTGTGAGTCTGTATGGCTTTCTGTATCTATAGTTACAGTATATGCACCCAATACTTGAGCATATATGTACTCCTGTGAGTTCATATCAGAAACACATACATAGACATACACCCCTGCCCTCTCTCTCCCTTTCCCATTCTCACATACACAGCTGTTATGTAGAAGCATGAGATTTACTGAGGCTGTGACCAGCTTTTATCTGCAAGTGTGTAAATCAGCACAGCTTTACATCTGGAGGAAGCGGACACTAAAACAGCACTGTGCCAAGGGGTCCGATTCAGGCTAAAGAGGACAGGGAAGAGGAAATACTTATTCATACATGTTTATGAGAAGATAGGTAAAGTTTCCATTAAATTAACTTTATATCATTAACATATATCAAAATTAAACTTGTAAGAAATCTCTAATGTCTGTCAGGGTTGGCATGTAACAATGCCAAATGGTGTTTGTGGTGAACTCAATTATAAAGCCAGACAAACTGAGGTAGAGACAGGATCTTTACTTGTTGCAACCAAACAACCAATACACAGTCCAGGATGACAATCAGGTCGAAAAGACAGTCCAGGGTCAGTGCTGGTAAACAGGTATAACCAGGAGATCCAAACTAGAGAGGTCAAGGGGAAATAAATCAGAAGGTCGGTACACTACAGGCAATCCGAAGCTGAGAGGGCATAGACAAAACACGGTGGTCAAAAACAGTAATTCAACGTCAGGAACAGAGAGTCAGGTAAGGAATAATTGCTGGAGAGTCAGAGCTGGTGTCACCATAGGACGCTGCCTAAATAGAGGTGAACACAGGCGCAGGCAATAAGGAGCAGGTGAAACTAATCTGAGTAAGGAAGAAAGTAAAAAGACCGAAGCTATGGTGAAACAAAACAGGAAGTAAAACCAAAATAAAAGCCTGACAGGAAGCAGCGGAACCGAAACATGACAATGTCACCCCTTGCTAAACCTATTTTTATCTTCCTGAGATAGTATTGTTTTATTTTACTATATTATAAAAGTAATTTATCAATTTATTTCACAGAACTTAAAGCTACAGTATGTAACTTTTTCAAATATTTTTGTTTAGAAATACATTTCAAAACCTGTCTTACATGTGGAGAGATGATGTTGAAACCTCCTGTGACCCAGACTCACTGAACAGCACTGGCAGCAGGGCAGAGACATTAGCTGCTAAAAGCTGTTGAGCTTTTAAAGAAGCTTCCTGAAATTAGAAAATGTACTGTTTGATGACAATATTTTAAAGCTAAAACACGACATGTAACATAACATGTAACTAACTTCAACCTGAAACTGGTGATTTATTATTGGTTGGCACCGATCATTTTTCCTGCACCATGCTGTCAAGAATCTGAACTTAAAGGAAGATTAATATGGTTTAAGATGATTCTTTTTAACACTATCCCACAGTTACCTCATCTTAATATACATCCAGTACAGAAGCAAACATAAAATGTACCATTAAAAAAGTACAGCCCTGATTTAATGCTTGCATCAGCAGAGTTCTACCATACACTAGAAAATCTGCACAACATAACTGTAAACACTTTGATTAGCAGGTATTTGATTTGTAGCTGTTGTAGCTGTAGCCTCAGACCAGTGTGAAGGCTGTGATGTTAATCGATGTCCTGGATCTTGGGCATAAAAAGTGAATTTGTCCAAAATGTGAAACATCTTTACTCTTTGTTATTACGTTAATATGTCAATAGGCCAATTCATGCTTGTTAAAAAAAATATTTGACTTCATGTGCACACTTATAAAAATCATTCCTATAGAGGTAGAGCTTTTCCTTATATGAACAAAACAATAATTAATTGATTGGCTTTTGGCAGGGGAGAGTAAAATGTTCCTGAGCTTGATGCTCCCAGTCTCCCTCCATCTACTTGTCATGCAGAAGGTACTTCTACAAATTAAGGGAGTCGAGCTATCCTCCCTGGCCGCCAGTCTTCAAACGTTAATCATTAACACAGGCTTTTAGGTGTGGGCCAACTGTGGTCATCTGTGACAGCAGAGGTGTAACTTTATGAAATAATTACTTCACAGACCTTCAGAGTATGTTGAGGGCTGAAAATAAACAGCCCTAGGGGAGAGATGGGGGAGAATGAAGTGAGGTCCAGCAAATGAAATGCAAAGACTAGCTGTTCACTTTCTCTCTGGGACAGAGATTTATGGGAGATCTACATGACATGGCAGCAGCTCAGAAGAAAACCCCTCTCTCTCTCCTCTTCTCTCATCTATCTCTCTCCCCTGCCCTTGATCCCACTGCAGCTGTCCCAGCCCTGGCCCACTTGCTGCACCTGCCCAAAAAGGCCCTTGATCAAAGCTAGCATGAACTAATCTAACAGCTCTTAAAGGCACACTGCTGTTCATTTATGGACTAATTCACACATATAAATAAGAAGTTGAATCAGACATTGGGGTTTCCTTGCATTTTAACCTAAACTACTGTGAAACAGAGAAGTCTGATCCTGCATTTTTGCTTGCTGAGGATTAAACCTGTCTGCCAAGTTTCTTCCTTTCTGTTATCCCACTTCAGACCAAGAACAGGAGATTCCCCAAATTTACAGCAACATCCTTTAACCTTAGGACACATGATTCTTTTGTACTGTAACTACTCCTGGCGCTGGCTGGACAGAGGTTGTCTAGTGCTAGTCCCAATGTCTGGTCTTCTTTGTTGATTTATATGACAGGGGCTGGTGAAAATCATCAGTGACGCCTTGTCCCAGACAGGAAATCAAAGACAGGGAGACAGCACAATCAGTGGAGCAGCCTGACCTGGATTCAGAGTGATCAGAACCTTCTGGAGCATGGCAGACAGCTGCTATCATCACAGGCCTGGCTGCACTTAGAGATCAAAATTTACACATCTAAAATACAAGAGTACGTTTTCCGAAGGATTTCAAAAGTTATCATGATGTCTACATAGACATGCATATAGCCAAATTAAAGCATTTTTTGCATATTTTGGAAGAAGAAATGTACTTTTTACATTTTATTGTTTTCATTTTTATGTATTTTTTCCTATACTTTAATTGCATATAGGTTTTAGGCTACACTTCATTACCACAAATCACAAATGTATGTGGAAAAAAAAATAAGTATAATAATGTTAACTGATGAATTACATAACTCAATTAAGTTTAACATAATTAAAGTTACTGTGGGGCTCTCCACCTTAGCTCTTATTAACTTGGTCAATTGTGCACAAATGTTTTATATGATGTATTCAATTAAACAAAAATTGCTCTGTGTGTCCTTGCAGGAATATAACTCACTGTGAACAATTATCACAGCCTGGGAAAGAAGTGGATAATTATGTATATAGACGTACTTTGTTTTACAAAGATAATGCACGACCATTCTCCACCATGGATGAATTAAGAGTTATTACTGTCGCGTGAGCATGTCATTGTTTATATAACGTATATGTTTGTAGGTCTATGTGTCTGTTTGTGCATGCAAATGTGCACATGCATCCATGTATCCCCAGTTTTCTTTAAAGGCCTAATGCAGCCATAACTTGACAAACTGCCTGAACAACCACCATGTGCATTAAAGTGACTAAGAAAAAATAAACGCACAGAACCCAGATCAAAGTGACAAATAGGCCGTGCATGCAAAGTGGCAAAGGTAAACTCTGTTGCTAAATGTGAGTGTGACTGCTGCACTGGGACTATCTGTGATAAACGAGGGATAAGTGCTAAAGCGCCCAAGTCAGAGCCACTAAATTTCACACCACACTCGGACTACTTATTCCCCTCCAAAAACATCGGATGAAAAGCAAGACATTGGTTGTAAATCAAATAGATGCACTGATCTGCAAAAACGGATCCCACTTTAAATAAACCATTTTCCCATCAGCAGAGTGAGAACATGTCTGTTGTGTGGACTGTTTTAAGGTGCACACTGAAATGTGAAGGGTGAAACGGTGACACAACACGGCCAGAAACAAAATTAAACATGATCCATGCTTTATATGCTTCAGAACAAAGATGTGACGAATATGGCTTTCATGCTAATTACAAATGTGGACATCACAGCACATATCTAGAGGACATTAATTTACTCTACTACTGACATATATACCAGTGGTGTAGCAGACAATGGTTTCCAAAGTAAACAAAATAACTGGATCATCACAATTATCAGATACAGGAGACTACCATTAGGAATTTATGTTAAAGGCTATATCAAGTTTGAGATGCCTGAGCCATAGAAAATAAGACTAAAATGACAAAGTTGATGACAGTTTTATAGAACAATTCTGAAGGTTTCTTCACCTTTCTAATTTAAAGCAAGATGTTAGGGTAGAACATAATTTTAAGAATAGAGAAAAAGTGCTGTGAGCAGTTAACTGCATTGTTTTACTTGTTTTATTCTTTTAACTGAATGAATCCTTAACATCTCAATTTGTGGGGATGTGACATCATCTCTGCTGCAGCCTTACCTTGTGAGTTGGATTGAGGAGACGTATAAACTCTCGGCCTGGAGAAACTACCAAGAGCAAGATTCAAAATATGCAGCTATAGAAAATAAATATGCATTGCCAGTGGTATGTGAAGCCACCAGCACAGTTGTTTGCATGAATGTAGTAATATTATTGTCTAAGAGTTCACTGACAGACCAGTAAACACACTCAATTATGTATTACTCTGCCTTCCAAAAGCAGAGATGGACTCTGACCCTTCTTTCCTTTTTTTTTTTCTCCTGGATGGTTTGTGAGTGTTACATGCATTAAATATATATGTACATATAGGTGTGTGTGTGGGTGTGTGTTTGTGTGTGTGCTTGAGTGTACAATGATATTTAGGTTGTGCACGTCCTTCTGGGCTGGGTTTTGGCATGTCAGTGTTTATATGTTTCGCCACAGACCTGCCACTTTGGCCTTCGGAGATGAAACATGAACCAACAGGGCAGAGTTTACATCAGCACACGGCAATCACAGGAGCCAACTTCCCAAAAGACTTGCCTCTGATCACATCAGGGTGGCCTTCGAAACATAAACACAGCTGATTTAAGCTCTGACACGAACATATAAAAAGGTGCATGAACTACATTTTACATTTGCCCTTTAGACATTTAGCTGGCAATCTTATCCCGTGTGACATTTGTTTTGAATTTCTCCAAGTGATCACTGAAAGGCAAAAAGCCATCAAGTTTTTTTTTTTTTTTACAACTCTGTACTCTGATGGCTCTAAATAGAGACAGGAAATAACTGTTTGAACTGTCGCGTCTTTAAAGCACGTTATAGCTCTTAAATTATGCCATGAGATACAAGCAAAGTCAAGTGTGCTGTACTTTGACCTTACACCTACAATAGTTTTTGTGCAAAATGCACAGCATCGCTTTCAAAGATAAAGCTCCCCTCTGCTGCAGTGAATTAGTCCGGTGCATTTTTACATCAGTTCAACTGATACTTGGACCACTCCCTTATTTAGTACTTGTACACACTATACTACTACAAACACTGTAAAATCTATGTAATCAAAATGTATTTTAGCTACTGTAAATGCAGGCTCCCACTTTTAAACAAGGTGGACAAAACAATCAGATGCTAAACCTTCTCAAGATGAGACATTGAGGACATATGAATGCTGAATCGCAATTACAAAAAGCTGAATTAAAGAGGAAGAGATATTTTAGGATCTTTCAGCTGTGAATAAAATCTACAGCCTTTTTGTCAAGAAAAAAAAAAACAGCTGCTGCTGTTAATCTCTTGCTCTGAGATTTACAGCACAAACTAATGGATGTTTTGAAGTAAGGAGAAAAGATTTCCCTCCATCAGAAAAGGGGAGGGAATTTAATCTACGGCATTTTTATTGAAACTATGTAATGTTCCTCCAACTTCGAGTTCAGGCGAAGAAGAGGATGATATAAATCAGACGAAGGACCTCCATCCTCTGGGCCGGGAGAGCTGAAACCCAAACCAAGCCGAGGTTAATGGAAGTTCAACTCAAGATTTATTTTAATTGTTCTATTGTAATTTTTTGAACTCAAAGAAAATACTGTTTTTGTTGAAATCGCTTGCTAAATTATACCACATCTGTAGTGAAAAATATAACGTGTCCAAAGAAAACCTTTCCCCCAATCTCTAGGTTGAATTATTATTATGCTAGAATTGTATAACAGCTCCATTCACGAAGCCGAGTGTTTACTTCTATAAAAAGTGGCTGCAAATTAAAGCAGATTTTCCTAATTTTTTGGTCCTACTTTCAGTAATTTATCATCTGTTAAAAATATTACATTGCTGGTACTTGAATTTTAGCCTCTAGCTTTTGTGATTGTCAAATAGAGGTGATTTCACATTTACAAAGTAAGTCAAATAAGAAGTAATAATTATCAACCCATTCCAGAACAAGTATCCACTTGATGAAACTACAGCGCACTGCCTCCCAGTGGGACACTTCTATAAGGGCCATTCTCACGTCTTTCATTAGACGACAAGCAAATTAATTACTCAACATGAGTTACTGTGGAGTTTCAGTAACTTGCAACAGTAGCACATGTAGATCAAAGGGATAGTATCTATATAAACTTTAGACAGGTGCAACATTGTCAAGCGCACAATGAAGGCCAACTTCTGGCCTTGATCAGTGGCTCAGTGTCTGTCCTTGATCGCTGCCAAGGAGCTTAAAGTGTGGTTCTGCATGAGTCAGTGCAGGAAGCCACCGCATGAAGCATGACAACCACACAGGCCGGCTTCAGTATGAGCATCTGTAAACAGGGACTAGCTGGTAATCTGCTCCTCCCTCCGTTCCTGCAGCCCCAGCTGTGTAGGGGCCTATTTTAGACATCCAGACTGCATGCTGGGATACTGTGCAGTGACACCCTGTGAGCAGTGATCAGCATGAAGAAGTGTGTGTGTGTATGTGCATCTGTGTCTGTGCAGCAGGGGTGGGAGCTGATGATAATTATTGAAATAACTTCCTGCCACCTGTCTCACTGTTGCCTTGTGCCAAAGTACAACACATAGTGATGAAACGGTTGAAGGAGCTTCTACAAAACTGACAGCTGATGGGGCAAACAGATGCGTTAGGCTCTACCTCATTAATGCCCACAGTATTTATAATGATGATGTGGAACATTTTAATAATAACTGCTGTAAAACAAAAGCAATTCAATCTACATGCTGAAGAGCAATGCTGGGAGAGCTGCTGCAGCCAGTATCTGGGAGGTCTTAATACAGTAAGAAGTCCTACACTGCACATAGCCGATGCCTGGCAGCACCCAGAGAAGATGATGATGATGATCTGGGTAACTAGCCACCTGATGTTGTCTTGCCACATTTGACTGGGAACAGTCGTCAGTGTACTGGTCTATAAGGGGAGTGCTATTAGCTTTTAAGTCGTCTTTCTGAAGGTGGTTGAAATCACAAAGTGACACCTGAAGGATGTTTAAACTGTAAACTACATTCTGTGCCACAAATCCATTTTGAGTCATCATCCTTGCCTGGGATCACTCTACTCCTGCTTTCATCCAAATCCTTGGCCACATCAAGTGACAGAGCTCATGTAACCTTGGCTCTTTAACACCTCTTCTAAGTAGTCAAAGTGCTGAGCCAGCAGGACTATGCTGAAATGAACCCAATTTAATGTTACAGAGTTTTAATATATCAAATTGTGTGGGCGGCTTAATGAACCGTTGTACTATGAACCTTTATTTAAACATTAAATTTAAGCTGTAGTCTTTGTAGCCTTTCTTGCCAAGGCGTCTTTTCTGTGCTCATTATATACACATTTTAAAAGGAGTTTAGTGTTTTTGGATCATTGCCTCATTATAAATGTACTCTATGAATGTTATACCACATCTAATGGGATACTATTTCTCCCCCCACTTGAAACCTAAGATTTTTTTACTGTAAGTGAAAGGTTCCAGTGTTTTGAGATGCTCAAATTTTTCAAAATTTGTGTAAAACTAAATACTTTTAATGTCAAATTTAAAGAAATTTCTGTGATTCTTATTTCTACCACTTTACCTCAGTTAGTTTTTCAGCTTTGGTTCAAGTTTTCCCCATAAACAAAACAAAAAACAAAAAGGCAAACATTTAATCAGGATCTAAAATATCACCATCATGGCGGGTAAAGTTGCTTGTTAGTGTATTTTTGTATCACTCTCATGTTCATCCTCTCTCTCATGCCACAGTGCGCATTTATATGCATATATATTTATAAATCAATTGTTTCTCTTTTGTCCACATTCTTTTTTTTTCTTGTTGCCTTACAAAAGCACAGTGGGAGCCTCTATACCGAAGTCAAAATCCTTCTGTGTTTAAACATACTTGGTCAATAAAGCTCAGACCTGCTTAGGATACAGTTTTGTATCTGTGGTGTAGGAGCATTACTTACAGCATCACATCCGATCGCCAACAAGGCAGCAACCAGTAGCTTCTGCTTGGACCTGTGTAGCTGCACCAGACGTGGGCATGGACCTAAAATTTGTGAAAGAGATGCTTCATGTTACATAAGTACTATTCATGTCATTCTCCTTTCCTGCACTCTGTCAAGTTGTATTAACATTATTATTATTATTATTATTATTATTATTATTATTAGCATCATTACACTGTTACTCATTTCTTCTTCCATTCCTTTTTCCTGCCACAGCACTGACCCTGCAAAGAGCCAGGCTACTGTTGCACCTGACACCAAGTCAGCTTTACAGCTCCATGTGGTAGAAGACAAATGGGTATAAGTATACCCTCCCTGACATGATGGGATACAGTTCCAGGCATACCTGCCTGGGCCTCAACTAAAATACCTCAGAATAAAGTACAAAATGGTGGTGGTTAAACCCAGTGCTATCTGTGACCCTGATATTTCACACTGTCTTGATTTCCTCCCAGGCTTTACAGTGCTGGGCTGGCAGCCATGTTGGAGCTATAACTGCAAAGGGAGATAAGTGTCATGACCCCAAGGCTTCATTACCTCCCACACAGCTTAGCACTGGATAGCATTAGCTGTTAATGACCCTTCTAACTAAAAGGGGTGATTCAGACAAACAGCATTCAACCCATAAAGCCACCGCAAGAAGCATTTTGCTAAATAAGGACACTGTCAAAACACAAGATGTTCCTTGTGTCTGTTTTCAGAGAGCAGGCATTTGTGTTACTTTCCAGGGGTACTGTGTGTTTAATAACACAAACCGATGCAACAAGTTCGTGTTTAATTGAAAAGTAGCTTGTGAAAGTGATTAATTAATTGACACACTCATAATAGAGCTCAAAAACATCTGCTACTGAGAGCTCATATTCAAAATAAATGGATTTGTTAATCTTTTCTGTCTTGAAGAATTATACAATTTTAGCAAAATGATTTTATTAAGCTTATTCATAAGTGTTAAATGATTATGTCTTATAACCAAAAGCCATCAACACAACTAATATTGGCTTTAAAAGTTGCCTTGATGGTCACACAATGAAAGCTGTACCTTAGTTCATCTGCAAGTACGTAACAAAGTTAACAAGATTTGATTACAAGGAATCTAAATTTAGCTGAGCAACTTATTAAATCAAATAGAACAAAGATGTACAATCAGAGTTTGGGGCTGCTAAGATCTATTATTTAATAAGAGAGCCCCAATGTAATCTAAAGTGTATCCAAGAAATTTGCCGCTGTGCACTGATGTTTTCCTGAAATTAGATCTGTCTTATTTGCTTTTTATTCACATGCCTAACGTGAATGTGTGTGAATAAATATATGACATAATTTCATTGTTCTGCTTGACTCTTCTCAATTTGTGGCTGTAAAATGAAATGATGATTGCATGTGTGCTTGACAGTGTTCAACTCTATTAGATTCTCAGCAGGGACTCTGTCCAATTCCACAACACCATTCCACAATTTTCCCTTTGTTTTAACTGCAAACAGCATGTCAGAGTGTAAATATCTGTGTGTGCATGACAGAGAGACAGGTAGAAGACATTTAATATCCTCATTGTGCCAATAACACTGACATGGCTGCTCAACAATATAAACAGTTTAAAATTTAGTTTTTTTTTTGTTTTTTTTTTACCTCTGTGCTCATGCTTAAACTGTAGCTACAAAACTCCACTAAAGTGCAGACATGAGCTCTAAAGACACAAAGTTGTCTGCTTGATACTGTTCACAAAACACCTTTTTACTCTGGTTCTGTTAATAGCTGAGAATCCTAAATTGAGATGTTTAACAGGGCTCCAGATCAGCCTTTGACAGGGCACACATTTATTATATGCTAAGTTATGTGGTTCTCTATACTGCCTGCGCATGGCTCAGTTTTCCATGCTGTAAACTCGGGTATAAAAGGTCAAGGGCTGTTTGGGCACGTTGAATGGATTTGGCAGCACATAACAGGCATCTTGTCTCTCTGATAGGTAATAAAATCTAACAAATTAAAAGCCTTATGCAACTCCCAAGACTGGTGACATTTACGCACTAATCGCCCTGTTCATGGCAACAACATTTGCCAAATCCCAGTCATTGTCTAAACCCCTGTCACTGACTTATTTTTCTTCCAAATATAGTCGGTGATATTGGCGTCTTTGCACTGTTGCAATAGTGCCACTGTTTACATTAGGAAAGGTCAGCTGTATACTTGAAGTAATCTCTTCAAATACACACTGTACTGATGGGTAATGAAAAGGACAGACTGGTTATGGAGCACTGTCTGCGACTTAATATTTATTTGCAATCACAAATGTCACTTTACTGACCATGAAAAGTATTTAAACAGATGTTGCACATGCTGAAAATATGATGTCTTTAAAAATTCAAACCGATAGCTGTCTAGTGGCACTGTGAGCTTCCAACAGCCCATTTTCCACTAAAACAAGCATATGGTCATGTGCCATTAGTTTCATATGCGCCCCTAATTCACTGTGTGTCTGACAGGAGGCTTCTGGCAAGGCCTGATATCACCCAATGCCATTCCATGCCTCTTTGATATGGTGATTTATGGCATAAAGACAGCGCAGGAACATTATGTTAAAACATAGCATGTTGTCGGCAGGAGATACAGACTCAAAGACTGTTTGTGTGGGTTCACAATGTTCGGCGGCCTTAACATTCCTGAACTAATCCTGCTTGTTCATCCCTGGACTCACAAACAGCAGCGTCAGGTTTCAGCCGCTCTTCAGTCTACTCTGGGACTGTGATGACAGGGGACAATCATGTAATAGAGTTCAGCTCTTATTATCAGCATGTTGTAAAACTCTGTGAAGGTGATTTTCATGGACTAACATGGAATGTCAGCCTATTTATCACATCTGATCTATGGATTGATCTGATATATGGTAGAATATACACATGGGCGATGAATTAAAGGAAAAACCGACAAAGTGTTTCAGTGAGGGATTGGGCCACCACGTGCCACCAGAACAGCTTCAGTGCATCTTGGCATTGACTCTACAAGTCTCTGAACTCTACTGGAGGGATGAACACCATTCTTCCAAAACATTCCCTAGTTCATCCCAAAGGTGTTCTATAGGGTTGAGGTCAGGACTCTGTGCAGGCCAGTCAAGTTCTTCCACACCAAACTCACTCATCCATGTTTTTATGGACCTTGCTTTGTGCACTGGTGCACAGTCATGTTGGAACAGGAAGGGGCCATCCCCAAACTGTTCTCACAAAGTTGGGAGCATGAAATTGTCCAAAATGTCTTGGTATGCTGAGGCATTAAGAGTTCCTTTCACTGGAACTAAGGGGCCAAGCCCAGCTCCTGAAAAACAACCCGATATCATAATCCCCCCCTCCACCAAACTCCTGGCAACCGCCAAACCCAGACTCGTCCATCGGATTGCCAGACAGAGAAGTGTGATTTGTCATTCCAGAGAACACGTCTCCACTGCTCTAGAGTCCAGTGGTGGCGTGCTTTACACCACTGCATTTGACGCTTTGCAGGTGCACTTGGTGATGTAAGGCTTGGATGCAGCTGCTCCACCATGGGACCCCATTCCATGAAGCTCTGTACGCACTGTTCTTGAGCCTATCTGAAGGCCACATGAAGTTTGGAGGTCTGTAGCTATTGACTCTGCAGAAAGTTGACGACCTCTGTGCACTATGCATCTCAGCATCCGCTGACCCCGCTTTGTGATTTTATGTGGCCTACCACTTTGTAGCTGAGTTGCTGTCGTTCCCAATCGCTTCCACTTTGTTATCATACCACTAACAGTTGACTGTGGAATATTTAGTAGGGACGAAATTTCATGACTGGACTTATTGCAAAGGTGGCATCCTATCACGGTACCATGCTGGAGTTCACTGAGCTCCTGAGAGCAACCCATCCTTTCACAAATGTTTGTAGAAGCGGTCTGCATGCCTAGGTGCTTGATTATACACACCTGTAACCATGGAAGTGGTTGGAACACCTGAATTCAATTATTTGGATGGGTGAGTGAATACTTTTGGCAGTATAATGTAGTTGGGATTTGACCTCCCTTCTGTCACACAAATTTATCAATAAATTCTCATAAAAGCTTCCTCATAAGCAGATCCATCCATGGAACATGATTGGCTCAATAGCTTTTGCCTCCTCTTGTGGCCCGCAAGTTGTATCAACTGCCTGCTTTGCATGGATATGTCAAGGCTGGTAGAAAAATCAAGGTGCCATTTTTATTTTAGGTGTGCCACATGCACACACATCAAAAAATAGGTTGCCACCTTTGTACGAAACCCACCCCCCTTTGCTACCTCCACTGCAAAAATCCTAGAGCTGCAACTCATCCTAAATGGTCTCTTGCTGCCCTCTAGAGTACTATTACACCTCCCTCATACACACACACTGTATAGACACACATACCAACACAAATATTCCTACTCACAGTGAAGTTCCAGGACACTACCCTCTCTAGAACAAGGACAGTCCAAATAAGTCATGACATGCAACGCAGCAAGGACCTTCAGCACTTTGACATTTCCAAAGATGGCAATGATTCAGTGGCATCACAGAAGTGAAGTTGTACTCACTAAAACTATATTAAACCAATCAGCCTATGCATACAGTATTTAATATATACAATATTTTCAGGGTAGTCAAAGGTTTGGAAGTGGAATATACACCAAGTTTGCCCCCTGACATGTCAGGACAGATGTCAGGAGTGTGGTTGTGGTAGTAGTAGAGGTACTGGCACTTCAAGGAGTAGTAGCAGCCATGTAAAGGTGATAATATCAGAAGGAGGAGAGTATGTACAGAGAAGGGCTGCTAGTAGCTGTAGCATTAATATAACCAGTAGGAGCATAGTATGAGGGATTGAAGTAGTTGTAGCTGCAGTATTAAAACACTTTTAGTAGAAGTACTGGTACTGTGGTAGTGTACCAGAAGAGTTAACTACAGTCCAAACATGCCTCTTCAGCTCACTGCTGTATTATTTAAAACATGACCATGCCTGCGGTCTGGAGATTCATTGCTCCCTTTGCATATCTTTGGGGTGATGTCTTCATCAGTGAGGCATGTAGTG